GTTCGGAAATGGGAAAATTTCATCAAAAGACTGGCTTCTACTCAAAAACAACTCCACTTTCTCCATGAATGTCTCCTTTCGGATGAGTGCCAATTACAGACCATCAATCAACTGCCCAGTGCGTAGGATAGAGAATAGCTGGACGAGGTAGAAGACAAATAGTACACCTAATGATAACTAATGCATACTACAGGGTCCACGAATACCAATACAACATGGATGAACAAAAAGACGAACTAGAAAGTGTACGCACAACAGAACATTTAATAATCTTGACAACGGCGATTAAGATGTCAAGCAGATGACACAGAGAACAAAGAAGGAACTACCTCAAGCAAAAACTAATCATAATTTCATAGCCACCCACAATAGGAAACGCCAACAGTTGTGTGATCAACCTGTCAAAACACATCTAACGATAAAAAAGAACACCTCGTCCAAAATGGATTGAACTACAACACGAGTGACGCTTCGAAACTCAAATTCTGCGCCGCACTAAAGTCATCACTGTAAACAGCCGGAATCAATGAAGAAACTTTTCAAGAAAGAAGACAAATCATGGTACCACTAACTCTACAGAAGAGAGGCAACACCAAACTAACAGCACAAAAACGAAAAGCCTTAAGGTAATTTAGAACTAGGAAAGATGTTACCATAGTTCCAACGGACAAAAGACTTGATACAGTAACTGTGGACAAGCAAGAATATACAAGAAAAGCCAGGGAACTTCTTCAGGATAGAAGTGTATATAAACCAATAGACACAAACCAACTCGAAAAGTTAGACAACCAAATCTGAAAGACTTTAAACGAGCTTATTAAATCAGGACCAATATCAAAACATCAGCAATGGAGAATGGAATCTAACGGACCAGTTATCTCTTAATTCTACCATAGGTTTTAACCACACAAACCTAACATTTCACTGCATCCAATTATATCCATGGATAAACGTGAGGACAGTGAAATCGACAACGACGAACTGATGATATGCTTTGAGGTAGCAGCCTTATTCACCTCAATAGAACCAACCTTAGAAAAACAATCTCTATCCATTCTCCTTACCAACGATGCAAATTTCCCAGAGTATACGAAACTCCAAATCCGAAGTCTACTGCTATACTGGACGTCTTCTGCTGCATTTATTTTTACGTTTGAGATAGAAGAGCCAGATGGTCTGTGAAGTTCAGATGATGCAGCTTCGTTACACTCGTCTCTAAGTATGCTTCCACTATTACGAGTTCACCTTAGACGAATAACGAGAATAAGACAATGAACCAGCGTCTAGGTAGGCTACTGTGATCCCTTGACCAAAAGGTATCAGCGGGTAGTTTTGATATAGCGCGGAAATCGTATTATACAAACACCCAGCAAGCACACAATGAATCCAGGCACTGAAATTGCGCTTATTTATACTCTATAGAGACATCCTAGCGACAGTCACAAAAGTAGCACACTAAAATGACACAGTAACCAATCACAGCCAAGGATTTTTCTGGTGGGAAATGTGTTTTCAAGGTCAACTGATCGGTCCATGAAATAAATCCAAAATAAAGATATTTATCAAGCGAGTTCTGGGGATCTAACATCCCCAACAAACTTCATCCAAGCTGTCCGCTTTATTCCATGCTTCGGCTCAGATATTGACGGTTTCTTAATCCAGTCGACCATCAGGAGAAAGAGAAAGGGTGAGAGGTCTCAATAGTGAGAAATTCCTATGATTTGCTCACTAGTGGCTAGGTTCGCGGGGAAATCCTCTAAGTTCTAGTGAAGAGACGTGACCAGAGAAATTTAACCCTGTCGGGTGTAGGCAGTAACTATCGGCTCCGTTGGAGGTCGGCTGGGTGGTACAGAGGTTAAGCGTTCACCGAAGACCCTGGGTTCGAATCTTGCAAGTGACAGAAGTCGTGGATATGCATTGCTGATGAGTCCCATTCGCAGGAGGAAATGGCCGTCCAGTGCTTTCAGGTTTCTAACAGTGGTCTAATCATGAATAAATCGCGATATCAGTGGAAAAGTTTCAGTTATATCCGCAATGCACTTGTAACATGTACCGCACCAGTTACTTAGATTAAGCCAGCTTTAATAAAAATTAGGGCTAGTAGTAAGAGACACCTTGGATAGAGTAGGTTGGAGAATACCGGAGAATAGCGGCCAATGCTTCATTGAGGGTAACAGACGTGCGTGCGTGCGTAAGTAAGTAAGTAAATAAGTAAAGATAAGAATTTATGCAAAATTTTATTATACATAGTTACGTAACAAATAAAACATTCAAATAATCATATTATATCATGTCTTAGTTAATTATCACTTTGGAAATAATCAATACACAATAATTCTGATATGAATGGAATACGTTTACTAATCATAACTGGCAAAATAGAATGCCATCGAACATGTAATTTCCCGGGTGTTTTTAACATTTCATCCCAATGTTTAGTACCTTTCAACTGGACAGCTTCTAAACCAATCGACACTTCACCAAGTATTCGTTTAAAACGCCATTTCTCCACTTGCATTAATTGACACTTGACATATGCATTCTTAATATGTTTCTCTTTAATTTTAAAACTAAATGTTTCATTAAAATATGGATTGATTAATTCTTTACGTGTTTGAGTTTTACACTTTTTCAATAAACGACGATCATGATACTTTAAATAAATTTCAATATTTAATTCAGTTTGAGAAGTTTTCAAAAATTTCCATTTACTATCATCTTCATTTATTATTAAATCATTGAAATATTGATCAAGATTTAAATTTCTCGCTTCAAACACACACAGATCAATACGTGACGTGTCTGGATAATAACCTAATCCAATACATAGTTCACCTAAATTGGAATTTCTCAGGTGACTCATCGATGTCGATAACCAATCAGTTTTCTCCAATACACGTCCAGCATATTCACTATGATCAATTTGATTCAATGGGATTTTTAATTGTCCTAAACTTATATCCACGTATTGATCATTGTATTGAAATACTTCGAAATAGATAACAATGGAATTTAATTGATTTTTTGTCAGTTTATAAACAAACGATTGATTCCAACATGGTTTATTCGACTGATGAATAATATCAGTGCGAAATTGTTTTTCAATTGACGATTTCCATTGTTCATGAGTAGTATCATTCGGATGATTATCGTTTGTTGTAGTGGTAGTCGTCATCGGATCATTTTCATATTTTACTAAAGAAACTTCAGTATATGCGCTGAATTTCTCTTGTTCCGTCGGACTAGCTAAATTATTAGCTTGTATTACACAAATTTCTAATTGTTCCTCTTCTATATGATAATTTAATGAATATTCCATGGTACCGCAATGATGATTTGTGTTTGTGGCATTGGAAAATCTTCTCAATCCTGGTATATCATCTACATAGACTGGTTTCTCTTTTTTTCTATAGACTTTCGGTACATATCTTCTGCGTACAAATGTACGTATACATAATATGATTAAAATGATCAGTGTTAAGCATAGAATACAAATTAATACAAGGAGAAATATAGCTAATGCTGGTCTATTTGTTACATGAAATGTTTCAGTTAATTTTTTTAGAAAATCATTGTTTGATGATGATGAATTTGTTTGGAGTGGGATTGTCGAATTTTTATTGATCAGAGTAGTAGTTGTAGTAGTGTGATTATTCACTGTGTTTAATATCATTATTTCCTTAATTTGTGATTGTTAAGATGAACTCAACAGTTTCAATATGTGAAAAGTTGTTTGAATGATGTTATTTTTCATTGATTGGTTAATCATACTTGGAATATGATTGGTTCATAATTTAAATGAATCATCAAAATGGCGACAGTGAATAAAAAATTATTTGAATAATCATATTGGTATCTTCTTGTAATTAGTTTTTTTTTTAAATTTTACATGGGTAGTTTTGACAAGTAGTCAATTGTAAGCCTGTGGTGCGAGCTACTTATAAGTATAGTATATGACGTGAGTGTCAACGTGATGTCTGGCAGCAGAAGATGCGGGGAAGATCAAGAAAGGAAGAGTGGGAACACAATGGAATTTGTATGAAACACATGAATAGTGACAATGGATTGATGTTTTGCAACAGGAATAGTCCAGTTCGATAGGATGAAATGATATTTTGCAAATTAACAACGATTTACGATATGGTTTTCCGATTTTACTGAGTAACTCTGTAATTTTGGTTAAATACAATTCGGTTGCCCCACCTGTGCTCTCCTTCACTACAGTACAGGTAGCAGAAGTATTAGCGGAAATCAGAAAGGTTATAGATTGACGTTACGATTCGAGATGTATGAATTTAAAAAGAGAAAAAATAGTCATGAGGAATTCAGAAGTGTTTGATTAGAGAGCCTTATAAGCTTCATTTTTTGAAGGCTTTATTCGTGAAAATCCCTCCATGTATACATTTGTAATTTATTCTTATTGATTCCTTCAGTTGTACATTTTGTTAATCTGTTCTATTCCATTTTGAGATGACAGTATTCTTATCCTATTAGAGTTTCTATTTCTTCTGACTTTATTAAGTTTCTATGTTTCTTTCTGAACTGCACTGATGTTGTTTAAGCTGATACTTAGTCATGGAGACAGCCATATTGATTTGTTCCTCTTTTGATTGGATTGCTTGCTTTGACTGGAATTGTGCATTTTGATTGTGAATTGAAGCACCCTTCCGGAATAGGACACACTCTGTGTTATAAAGCAACCAAATATTATCTTTCGAACGAATCTGATGTATTCAGGAGGTATAAAATATCATATATTTGCTGCTGTGGATTCGATTAACTGAACAATTGTTGGTGAAATAACTAAGTGGTAATATTTGTCTAGGTAATGATGTATATTTATATTTATGATGAATATTAGAACCGTCATTTACCCAATCAGTTTGTTTTGGTTTCAGCTGAGCAAGGCGCATATCTAAACTACCTCAGTTTGGATCCTACAAGTCTGTATAAGGTTAGTTTCTTTGGTTGGGAAAACATTAGAAACTAAGGTCTACTAGATTACTATTTCGTTCCAGTGCAGGACTCTTCAGAAGTATGCATGCATACCCACTACTTCGGGATCAAACCCACAGTAGTCGGTTTCGTGTAGTGGTATCAAATAGTGCACAAGTATAACGTCAGCCGATTCACAATTTTGCACTACCATCTCAGTAAGTAGCTTTCATACCCGATACGGTTTTTCACTAGAACTCCGCAAAAGTTTCTCTCAAACCTGGTCATCGATGAGTTCTAGATGCTAGGGTGTCGACATACACCACTTGGGAACCCTATTCTAGAATGAAATGTCGGCTTGGCACTTCTATTTTTTTGTCAGTTGGATGTCCGCTTGTGGTCTAGAGGTTATGAATGTGAATTGTTGAGAAATTCTATGCTATGACGAAACAGCTATCCAACGCTTCCAGGATTTCAAAAGTTATCTAGCATTGATTGTTTCGTGATTTAAATACAAGAAAAAACTATTGCCAACCTTACCGCTCCGCATTATGAAGTACCACAAACAGCTAGATGTTACATGAAATAAATTTGACCGAAATGACAATATGGTGACATGATCAGATCTAGTTTAATTTTAATTGCTTTATGTCTTATGTGCTATCTAAACTTTCGTCAAATTAGTTTGAAGTTGATTGTTACTTTCTCAATGGCTTACAATAAGCCATGAATAATTCTCTGTTTACTAAGATTTTCAGGATGCATTATTTTTATGTTACCCTTTGTAATTTTAAATAGCAGAATTTACATTATGGGGTTGAGGAGAACTTTGGGTTACTTTTTGAAATCATTAGTCGATCAATGTTAGATCACTATCAGAAACCTGGAAGCAATGGATGGCCGTCAAGTCCTGGTGTAAGACTCATCAGCAGTGCACATCCACAACTCCTACAAACTCAGGATTCGAACCCAGGACCTTCGGTTTTATGGGCGAACGCCTAACCACCGGACCACTGAGCCGGTATCAGAATTATGTAAGAAAACTTTCAGTTACTAACGTAATATAATTTAGCAATTCCTATGATAGTTTGTAGATTATTACCTTGGCCAACTATAAAACAAGAACTCGATTATCATGCAAAGTTATTCATTCATTTTATTTTAACTACTGAAATTTCGTTTCAGTAGCTATAAAATTTAGAGTAACTAAAAATATGCGAATACTGCTATGATTATTTCATTGTGGTATAGTTATATATCCAGGAAAGAAAACATAAATACGTATAAAAAGAAGTTTTTAAATCAAGCCTCCAGTGAAATCAATTCTCTCGTATTCAGGACTCATCTACTTAATGAAAGGAAAAGTGACCGAAAGTACTTTTTGGAAAACACATATCCAATCCAAGATTTTCATTTTGAAAAGAATACAATCTTATTCTTAATAATGAGTAAATCAACGTTTTGCTAAACATTTTTTGATGTTGAGTTAATAAATATCGTTGAAATACAATATTAGAGCTGAAAGTTATCACTTCATTTTCACGCTTTATCATGATACGCATTTACAGAAATACACTTTATTCTTTTGAAAAAAAAGTTAGGTCAAAGTTAAGCATCATTGCCTTGGAATATAAAAGTGCAATCTTTTGCTTCATAGTCGACCCTTTGAAGGTCATTATTTTTCAAATATTAAGAATCTTTAAGTTGACTATAGATAAGGTAAGAAATTATTCAGGTATGTTTTTGTATTTTACATTATGTCATAACGTTGTGTTCTAGTTACAGATTTTTTGTAAGAGATCAGTAATTCCATCTGGGGCACTTCTAGGGTTATTGCCGGTCCCAGGCCCGAGTAAAGGAGGAGGGTTGGGCATGGGGTCAATGACCCCATCGCGTAGAAATCCAGCGTGCTAGAAATAAACGCTAACCAAAAAAAATAATTCTCTAGTGGGCGGTCTATGCTCCATTAGGGGTAAAAGGCGTAAGCGAGTAAGTAAGTAATTTAGTAAGCTAGTTGGTTAGTTTGTTAATAAGTTAGTTATTTTTGATTAGTTAGTAACTGAATTAGTTATTTAGTTAGTTAGACACTGGCCAGATAATATATTTTAATAAATGTGTGCAGTGTGATGAAGTATATTTTGGGTTACAGTCATAGTTGTATAGATGAGTAGGATTCAGTAGTAGTATGGTGCGAGCTACTTATAAGTAGTATATGACGTGAGTGTCAACGTAATGTCTGGCAGCAGAAGATGGAGGAAGATCAAGAAAGGAAGAGTTAGAACACAGTGGAATTTGTATGGCACGCATAAATAGTGACAATGGATTGATGTTTTGCAACAGGAACAGTCCAGTTCGATATGATGAACTGATATTTTGCAAATTAACGATTTACCATATGGTTTTCAGATTTTACTGAGTAACTCTGTAATTTTGGTTAAATACAATTCGGTTACTCCACCTGTGTTCTCGTTCACTACAGTAGTAGTAGTAGTAGTAGTAGTAGTAGTAGTAGTAGTAGTAGTAGTAGTAGTGGTGTGAATTCTTTCATGTACCCATTGATATAAAAGTAAGTGCCATTGAGCACGTTACTGAAGAAGAAGTCTAATTTCCTCATGGTTATTTTAGATAGCATATTGTTACGAATTGCACGTTAACAGGTCATTCTGAACTATTGCGAGTTTACCTTAGTCGGAAAACGAGAGCGAGGATTGAGGATCTGGCTACACGATAGGCTACTCTATTCCAAATGTCGTAAACCCACATATTGAGTGAAAGAAGAAGACTTGATGTGAAGTAGGACCTGTATTCAACAAACATCTCGAAAGTACGAGGTCCAAGATCAGAAGGGAATCAGGATCTCGGACTAGGGTTCGGGTCCAGGTCATAAAACGTCACAGATAATGCTCGAATAGGGAACAGCTTTGAAGTCTGTGACATTGGCAGATAGGACGACCAAAATATTGACCAGTAGGAATTAACCAATAGGAATTGACCAATAGACTTAGACTTACAAATAATTCTCTTAGGATATCAGACGAATATCCTAACATCATCATGATTACATTTTGTTAAAATCTTATCTGGTTTTTGTTTATATAGGTCTCTAATAGATATTAGTTTGTGCAAAAAATTAATCAGCTTCAAAGTAAAAACAATTTGTACAAATCATTCGTCCCCATTTATTTCGATAGTTAAAAAGTGCGGAAAGTGTGAATTTGCAGAAAGGTGAACTTTACTTTGATGATAAAAATGAAAACATATTTTAAAAAGAAAGTTATGTAAGGTAAAAATTAATACAAGACATGTGCAAATAAGCTAATAACCAATAAATTATGGGTATATTTATTGAGATTCTTTAAGACAAGTTACATTTTGTGTGATTCACAATGTTGCCATACCATGAATCAACAATTTCATTTGAAATATATGTATGCTACAAGAAGATAGATACTAATTTTTATTACCATATTTTAAATAACTGAAAATGGATATATAAATACATATATTTGTGAGATAATGTGCGTCTTAGCTGTCCACTGAACGATGTGAACTTCGCAGATGACCTGGCTCTTCTATCGCACACGCAACAACAAATGCAAGAGAAGACGACCAGTGTAGCAGCAGCCTCTTCAGCAGTAGGTCTCAACATACATAAAGGAAAAAGCGAAATTCTCCGATGCAACACAACATGCACCAACCGAATCACGCTTGATGGAGATACCTTGGAGGACGTTAACA